ACTCACATGTACCCTCATGTTCGTGACTCTCAAGCTCATGAACTGCAGATTCCCATGGTGTTGAGGTCGGGTGGTCTGGTCGGCGGCGCCCGTGTTCTCAGGAGACCTGGGTCACACCGGTCGTGCTGCTGATGGCCGGTGGCTCCTCTGGCCTCCCCGAGGGCACCGTCCTGCTACGGCTCATTCGCCTGGTGAGGTGCCTGGGTGCAGTGGTTGGGCACCGGGGCCGAGGAAGCCAAATGAAGGTCCGAACTTGGGTGGGGAGGATGTAGGAAACATCACCGGTAGAAATGGGGAGATGCAAGAGGAATGATGCTCCTCCGGGCGGAAAGGATGAATGTAGGACACATTGAAGATGTGGAGTTGTGCAGGCCACGGAAGTGAAATGAAGTGCAAACTAAGTGGAAACCTTCTATTCTTGTCGCTACAGACAGCCGCAAGTGTTTGGCACATCTGGGAGGTGAAGGTTCTTAGTTAACATGAAAGGACTCTGGCCAGCTAAGTGCTTGATCAGGTGCTCGTCTCCTGGAGCGCTGCCATCGCGAGCCTCATGTTCCGACGGTCCACCGGAGCACCACCTGGGTCCACCTGAGCCCCCTCCCACACCGACCATGTCACCGCTAGACGTGAGCGCGACCGCGACATGCCTGACATGCCTTGACACCAGAGGCTGGTGCGCTTGACGCGGCTCACGCGTTTGTTGCGCTCCTTCCCTGAGCTGATGATCATCGTCAAGGGTCTCGCCTTTGCAGCCAGGTGCATGCGACGGGACATGTGGGTCCCGAGGTGGTCACTGTGGGTCATGCGACGGGACGGCGTCGAAGGGTCGGAGAGGGAGTACGTGCGGTCACCCTGACGAGTACCGTCGGATGTCTTGGGGTGAGAGCGCTTGGGATTGCTTGGGTGGGTGTTTCTCCTTGCTAGGTCGGTGTGTGTGTTCTCCTTGCTGTGGGCAATCATCACCTATGCCTTCGCAATCATCCTCCGACAGCTCACAGAGGGTTCCGCCATTGGCACCACCTTCTTCAGCTCTGTGCCTGACGCTTGGGCTGTTGGAGGTCGATTCGGCAGCAGTTGTCGCCCTGGCGGGGGTGATTTGATGTGTTGAAGTTGGGTGGAGACACTTCGAGGGTTCTGAGGTCCCTCCGAACATAGACGAGTTGGGGTTGGTGAGCACTGCTTTCGCCGTGTTGGTGTACCAATGACCCAATCAGCAGCATGTACAAAACTCCTTGAATGAAATAATCAGCTAATCAGTTCATGAAGTGGTTGTTGGAAGTATATAACGTAAGACTTAAGACGGTAAGACATATTATATATATAAGTGCCTTTGAGGAGTTGTTGCAATCCTGAGCAAACAGTCGGCTGTCCCAACAGACAGTCGGTTGTCCCAGTGGTGCAGGGGTGACGTATGCTGACATTACTGTATGTTTCTTCGATTGTTTGATTGCGGGTGTTCATTCGGCTATACCAAACATCTTTGGGTTTGTGCCACCTATTCTGAGACCACTGTAACTGTACCATTTGGAGAGTCAAGGTTAAGATGTCCCATTTCCTCAAGACAGCGAGCGGCAAGGGCAAGCACGCTGCCCAGGTGTTCTTTTGCACGACGGCGTTGTTTCCATTGGTGTAGGTCCTAGGTTTTTCCTCTTGCTTCATGATTGAAAGGGCATTCTTAAGACTTAACTTAAGACCCAGGTTCCCTTGAATCATTCTTCATGGAGAAGCTGGCTATGGACCCTCCCTCCAAACATGGCAGGTGGACCTCCGCATTCACCAAACGGAATGGGAGATGACCCTCCCGTCCGTTCCATGTCCTTCACCTGGATGTCGCCCCATCCGCGGAGTTCACCGGGCCTCCTCTCGGACCGTTCCGCGACGCGGGTCCACGCGGACGCGGACGCGCACGAGGAGTCCATCAACACCCTGCTGCTACCGGCAGTGTTTGGAGCCAATGCAGATGTGCCGAGTTGGAGATAGCGGGGAGGAGTGGAGGTGAGGTCCCATGTGAAGGGCCTTTTTCGGTGCCGATGTGCCGAGTCGTGCAGAATCGAAGTCACTGCACACGGGACGAAAATGAAAAGGATCGGCGGTGGTGTGAGTGGTGTTATGGTAGAAGCTCCTGAGGTGACAGCCTTGCAAGCCCATATGGGACAACGTCAGTGACAGACATTGGCTAGGGTGCCAGATTTGGTACATGTTTATAGGCATGTTTGCTCGTGTATGAGGTCCTGACCTTAGCCTCTTATGATGTCCAATGGTATGCAGATATAGACGTCCCCATTGTATCGCCACTTAAAACCAGTGTGTTCCAATGGTCCGTGGCACCCTGCAAATGCAAACTCATTCGTGAATTACAGCACCAAAAGAATCAGAAAAGAGGACTCCTGCATGAAACTGGCGGGGTGCACACTCAAACAGGCCACAGCAATGTTGCCGGGTAGTGAGACGGAGGGGTTTAGAACCTCATTGACATGGTCAATCATTGTATCTACTCTACTCCATTTGGGTGTGCATTAGACAAGGGAGAGCGTCCAACCACTACCACTAGGATTCAGTCGATTTTGTGTGTTTTTTCGTGAGTTTCTAAATGTGTCATATATGTGCAATTATTTACATATTAGACACGTGGTTATGATTTTTGGCAGCTTGGCTTCGTTGGGCAGCGGACGGGGTCATTCTACAGCTCAACCTGGACTGAACAAAATCTCCAGAAACCCGGGTGGTGCTGCATCTCACTTTATGTTAATTTGTTGATTCTATAATTTGAAGATCAATGCCTCAAGTCAGTCAGAGGACTGCTTGCCCATACCCTCACGGAAAATATGGGAAAAGTTTTTGCCAGCACATGCGGGTTTGTCCAAGTGTATCAAAAGGTGTGTTGTTTAATGTTGTTTATTTGTAATTATCACGAAAGGTAGCCCTTTAGGGGATACCTTGAGTTTGTCTTGCGAAGCAAGTGTTGGGACGTCCGGGTCTAATAATTGATCGCTCAATTCAGACCCCCCCCCACCC